CGGTTTTTGGTGCTAGTCCTGTTTTCATTTTTCTGTTGAAATATTTTCAGGTGTCTATGGACATATCATCCTGAATATGCTGATCTTGTGTGAAATGTTTTCAGCCTTTACTCTGCTTCTTTAGTAATCAAGAGCCACAGAAAGCAATTGAGTTGTGAGAAGGACTGTCTCTAACACATGTGTGAAATCCATCTTCTAACTTTGCCACTGCCAAGCGAGTCCAAACTCCATTCTCTCTTACCTGGACTTCTGTAGTACCTTATGACTAGTCTCCCTGCTTCTCTTTTCCTTCTAAAAATGGAAATCAGGTCACAGTACTCCCACTGCCTAAAACTTCCCAGAGGCTTCCCTGGCTAGTCAAGCCCTGCTTCCTTCCCTGTCTTCATCTTCTGCTCTTTCTCTTTACCCTGTCAGTTCCACCCACACCCTAAGAGAGGGATGGGTGCCAAGCTTATTTCCTCTCACCTTGGGCCTTTGTACAAGCTATTTCTTCTGCCTCTAATGATCTCTCCCAGATATTTGCACAACTGGCCCCTTCTTGTCATTCAGATCTCAGTTTAAATGTTGTTACTTTAGAGGCACCTTGTTTATCACCTCTTCTAAACTGGTTGTCCCTCTGACTCAATGTACTGTCTAGTACATTGCTGTGGGGTTTTTTTGCTTGTTTGTTTGGTGTTTTGTTTTGTTTTGTTGTTTGTTTTTTTTTTTGGTACTGGGTATTGAACTCGGGTCCTTGCGCTTGCAAGGCAGGCCACCGAACCACTGAGCTAAATCCCCAGCCCCTGCTCTGGTTTTTTGGTTGTTTTTTGTTTGTTTGTTTGTTTGTTTTGTATCGGGGATCAAACTCGGGTCCTTGCACTTGCGAGGCAGGCAGCAGAACCACTGAGCTAAATTGCCAGCCCTGGTTTTTGTTTTGTTTTGTTTTGTTTTTCCTGTACTGGGGATTGAACTCTGGTCCTTGCGTTTGCAAGCAGGTGGTGGAACATTGCTCTGTTTTATAACCCTTTTTGTATTTGTTTGTCATTTGACATCCTTTATTAGAATGTAACCACTAAAACATGGGGCTTGATCTTGTTCACTGCTCTCTGAAATGCCCAGCCCAGAGTAGCCTGTCAAGTATTTGCTGAAAAAATAAAAGATAAATTCAATAAATCTGGAGCTATTTGCAAAGTGCTTCTTTCATAGAAGAAACTGACGTAGACTAACATGTAGAAGTAATTACCAGTAAACTCCTATTTTGGCAGAACTCTCAAAATAGAGTTAAGGGATGGATTTATTTAAAACTTTTATTTTAAACTTAAATATCACTGTCGAAGTTCCGTTGAACTTTATAATTTGGGGGAAAGACAAATTGGAGTATAGAATTCACACATTTCCTATCAATTCAAGAAGGTTTTTTTTAAGTTTTTAGAAATATGAATGCAACTGGAATTCAAGGGATTCAATGAATTTGAAATGTTTTTAACCAAAGGTGTCCTGTGTGTACCTAGGAATGTTCTATTCCTTCTGAAAGCTTAGACTGGACTATAAACAAGGGTTAGTGCTAGTGAGCTCCCCACAATTTCAAAATAGGAGAATTTGGGGATGATGGTCCAAAATTATAATGGGTTTCTCTTGAAGTTATATTTGCATAACAAGTGGATTGTTTCTTAGGTTGTGTGTACATTTCTTGGGATGAAGACATGTGTGATGGGTTATGGAAGTTATGTTTGCATAACAAGCGGATTGTTTCTTAGGTTGTATATATATTTCTTGGGATGAAGACTGATGTGTGATGGGTTATGGAGAGCTAAAATCCTCAAGGATCCCCATCCAGCCTGCCAGTTCTGCACCCAGTGAGTCTTAGCTACTCACAGGCCTGAGAGGCAGAGGACTGAGCTACTCAGCACAAGGGAATATATGAGATGATTTTTTTTTTAATGGCTACTGATTTTTATAGAAATTTCAGTGTTTTAGAGACCCATGTAGGCTGGTTTGGGTCAAGAGGGGAAACACATAAATGGGATTTTGAAACATAAGTGATCACACCAGCTACCACTGATTATGGTTACTGTGTGCCGGGCATTCATTTTGCAGAACCCCCACAAAATATGTGCCATGTTCCGCATCTTGGGATGTGGAGACTGAGGCTTAGCTAGCAAGGATTTACCTGAGGCTTCTCAGGTAGATGGCAGCACAGCTGAACTCAGAACCGTTCCCCTGTAACCACAGAGGTACTGTGGGTGGGGGCCAAGAAGAGCAGAAGCAGAGGTGGCATGAGTCAGGGTGAGGTCAGTGAGGGGACCCCTGGCCATGCCAGAGGTCCAAGTCATCGAGTGTGGGAGTGACTGGAGCACTGGAGGGTCAGACTGCAGAGGAGCCCAAAGCCAATGTGGGAGCCAAGATTTGTTCTGCAAACAATGAAAAAGAACATAGGATTTTAAACTGGAATGCTAGGGCTGGTGACTGCCTGCAGGCAGGGAGTACAGCAGAGAGATCAGGGAAGTGAGGATGGTCTTAATTAGGGGGGCAGAACCAAGACTAGGAAGAAGCAGGCTCTGCTTCTTCTTACCACTTAGTCCCCTGCTCCTTGGAAAAGCCCTTGCTTGGGCTGTGAGAATGGTATTTTTAGTCATGACTGTAAGTGATTTCCATTTATGTCTCCTTCTATTTCATCTCTGCATAGTGCAGTAGTGAATGTGCATATCCATAAATGTCAGAAGTAGCAGTCTTATTTTACTTGATTGGTACAGCAATCTATTCATATGCTCAGTCCTTATTTTGCAGCACATACATCATGACTGTATGTCCATAGCCTAAAAAATAGAAGAGAAAACTTTGGTTGCCATTTCAAACCCATAGGACTGGGATGTCAGGGTCTCAAACTCTTCACTTGTCCATCTCTGGAGGAACTGTGATAAGATTTAGTACTAAGAAATCATAAGTTCACTTTGTTAGAAGATTTACTGTTTTGAAGTCATGTTGTTTGTAAAATCAAGGTGCAGGTTAAGCTAAGGACGCTTGTTTAAAATACCCTTGCTTAGTTTCTCCAAACTATCAGGGACCTGGGGACATCTCCTGCTGATGTTTGTGTCTGTATCCAGTATCTTGTGTTTCTTTCTTGTGCAGCTTGCAAGCCCAGGAACTGCAGAGAGTGTTCTGTCATGACAGGAACAAGTCAGAGGCTTTTATTCTTAGGAACGAGGCTAGAAAGAGGACTCAGAGATCTTCCACCTTCTTCAGTCAGAACCTTTCTGCTTTTAATCAGTTTTTTATAGTAGGATTCCATGGAAGTATTATTTTCAATAATAAAGGGCTGAAAATATAATATCCATGATGCAGAGAGACCACAGGAAGGCCCTAGATCTCCCTCATGCATCGCTCTGCCTCATGGGGCCTTTGTCCCTGGATTTCTCTAAGCTCAGCCCTGGACACTGAATCCTCTTCAAGACAGGAGTAACCACATGAGCATCACCTTCATCCCAGAGCATCTGTGTGAGCTTGTGCACCAGGTCACAGTTCTGTCACACAGAAAGTTGAGACAAAAGGAGGTTCATTCAGCAAATCCTTGGTGAATAACACCTTCTTGTCAATCTCTGTACCAGGCAGTGGGAATACAGAAAGGAACCCCACATGATCACCCCTGCCCTTTTGCCCTTTTCAAACCCCTGGATGTGTATGTAATGCCACACAGTCCACAGTGGAAGAAAGAGAGCTAGCTACAAACTGTCCTGTGATAGTTCAGGATCCTGGAGAGGCAGCAGCTGAGACACCTGTGTGGCCATGCATAAGGAATAACAAATAACCTGGCCCATCTGGGCAGTGTACCCAAGAAAGGAGGTTCTCTCATATTTGGGGAACCATGAGTGTTGGCAGAATTTGGAGGTCTGGGAGAGTTTTAATGGAAGAATGAAATGGAGAAATAAGACTATACATTAGGCTGAGGCCTTTTACTTAGTTTTATGGGCACTGAGGAACTAGTACAGGGCTAAAAGAGGTGACATCAAAATCAGATTTAGAAAGATTTCCTTGGCAGATTTTTAGAGAAGAAAAGAAGAAGGAGGGCCAGGTACTGGTGCAAGAGACTGGGAGTGCTGAAGGCAAGATCTAAGGCCTTCCGCAGGAATGGGCGAGTAAGAAGGGTCGGCCTTGGGGCAGCTCTTCTGAAGGAGAATCACAATTAATGACTGAAGTTATTTGTGAAAAAGTCAGATGACTCCTAAGTTTTCATTTGAGTTCTGTCTCCCTTATTCTCTAAAGACTTGCAATCCAAATGTGGAATTCTCCTTCATAGCAAGTTGCAGAAGACAGTCTCAGTGCACTTGCCAAATCTTGCCAGCCTGGGCTTTACAAACTGGTAAACATTTCTTCTTCTTTGGCTGACATCTCATTTCCTTTTTCTTAACTTCTGTTCTGAAATTATTACAGCACAGTTTCTGTACTTCAAGGAATTGATGGCACACATTCTGCTTTCAATCAGTGGATAATCAAGTAATGAGATAGCTAATCACAGTAGACCTACAAGGTCACATTAGCCATGGTAAAGGGATGGGCATACCCTGTGACTTTCATGATTCTGAGGCAGCTTATGCTGAAATGCAGAATTTGGAAGAATTTTTCAGTGCTGCAGCTTGCTGTGAAATGTAGCCAGGCTACCAGCATATATTATGCTCATTTACAACATGGGTCATGCCTGATCACTGTAGCAGCGGCAGCCACAGGAAGATGAGGTAATTAGGCACATCACAATGGAACAGGTTGTTTTATCATTCCTTTAAACCTCCGTCCTGCCTCAACCTACACAGTTACGGTGGGGAGTGGGGTGTGTTATGTGATTTACCCAGGATCCAAGGTGAGCCCAGGGTTCGACTTATTTCTCTAGACTAATCCAGCTCCCAGCCTGGAGCCTAAGCATACACTGCATTAATCAGACTTGCTGGATCACATGGTTTTCTGGCTGCCTCTGTTAGCTGCCGCTTGTCAGCAGCTGGCGGAGCTGGATGCTGCAGGCCCCTGTCTGCAGAAAGCCTTTTACTTCAGAATATTGGGGGGTGTGGAAACCCCGCCTCTTTTTTCTGCACTTTGCACCATCTGACTAACTAAATGGTTGTCTTCTGTACCCAAAAGGCTACCATACAATCTAAGGAAATTGTCTCTGAGTAGGTCATGTTTGCATTTGAAGAATTCAGGTATGTTCTGGGTTTTCTATATCAGCCTACTGCTGGCTTTTTGTTCTTGCTAGGTTTTTGCTGTGTAATGACAGCTTTGGCTCTGGCTGGTTTTCACACACGAAAAAGGGTTTGTTTCTGCATTTGGTGGGATTTATCCCTGTGTGGGGATGGGAGGCATGGAGGTGGTACAGGTCAGGGGTGTTTACTGCATGCAGAAGTATAGCATGAATAATTGGCCTGATCATGTGTGAATCTGTCCAGGAGCCCACCTTGTGCCTCATTTCAGCTGCTCTTGCTGCTGTAGAGTTATGAATTCAGAATGGCAACTGTTTATCCAGAATGAGACTCTTGCTATCTTTTGTTTTTCTTCCTTTGTCAGACTCATGCAATCTACTGCTGTTTTTTTTTTTTTCAAGTGAATCATAGCAGTGAAGGTGAAAATTTTCCAAATCTATCTGCATAGTGCACATTTGATTTTTTGTTCTCGTTATTGTTAATAGTAATCTCGTGGCCAGGCTGATTTCTGGGAAGTGCCCTTATAATGTTTTGTTAACAGGGTCCTTTGCTTTCATAAGCTTTTCAGCTGCTGTAATTATTAATGTTCCAAATTAGATCTTTTGTGAATCTTTTTCCGTCTGTTTCCTCTATCTCATCTCTGGAATCTGTCGCTGGTATGAATGTGGAAAAGGACAATCCAACACAGTTTGTAAGGAATGAAAATAAAGGAGGCAGAACAGGAGGGTAATCAGATCCTTCTTGAGCCTATTTCCACCTCCTTGAACCGTATGGACAAGAGTACATGTACATGTGTCTGTTTCTGACCTCTGGTAGCTTCTCATTTTTCAAATGGAATTTCTGTGTGTTTTAGGGTTAAGCATAAATACCACATTGGTGGGCAAAGAGGGTGATTGTGCAGGACTCAGTTCTACCTTGGCAGGCCTTTTCTGTTCCCTACAAATGTTGCTGTAATTGACACTTACAATGATAAGAGAAGAACCACCTTTCATTGTTTTAAAGAGAAAACTAGAGTCTTCTCAACCAAATAGGAAAGAGGATCATTAGATTTCCACAAAGAAAAGTCAGGGTAGAAAGCTTGTCCCCACCCTTTTCTGTAAAGTTGATGCTTTGGATCCAGAAAGTTGTCCTTTGTTTCAGAGAGTGTTTCTGCATTATTTCTAATGAACAAAGCTTTTAAGACAGAAATCCTTTCCATATGGCAACATGCCCTGGTGACAGGTGGCCCATGTCCTTCCAGGAACCAAACTTACTGTTTTAGGATAGCTCCATTAGATAGCTAACGAGAATTTGTTAAATGCTTGTTATGTTACCATAGATGGGCACTTAGGAAATAAACCTAATGTCCTGGATTCAAGTCTTGGTTTCAAAATTTGCATTTCATGTTCTCATGCAAGTTATGGAAGAGTTCTACAGAGAGTAGTATAGCTGTGAAGTTCATATTTTATTGTTAACATTTACTCTTGTTGGAGTAAGCCTTGGCTTCCGCCTTGAGTAGAGTTTGGAGCCTTTCATTACATTCATAGTTAGGGAAGAAGGATACACATCAACAAATCCCTTCCCTTGTGCTGGGCTCCTGGCGTGCAAGCCCAGTGCCGTGTCTGAGGTGGTGGAAGGTCCTGAGCTGAAGGCATCCTTATGGAAGGTAGACTGGAAACAGAAGGTCTGTTATCTCTTGCTTCAGGTCTCTGCACAAACTGGCCCAGGAAAGTTTTGCTGGATGGGATTCATTTTGTGACTGCTGCCCGGTACCAGACAGATAGATTTTTTCTTTAGTCCCAGGGTTTGTGTATGTGGCAGACAGGTGATCATGTTGGAGCAACACGGGGATTATTGAACGCAGCTTTTTCTCTTAGCTCAGGGTGGTTCTCAAGCTTTAGAATACAGCACAATCTCTGGAAAGTGTATTAAAACTGATATTGCTGAGCCACACTTCACTTCCAGAGTTTCTGATGCAGTATGTCTGGAGGAGGTTGAAATTTTACATTTCTAATAAGTTCCCAGGTGATTCTGATGCTGCAGGTCTGAGGACCAGACTTTTGAGAACCACTGAGCTAGGGGAAAGCAGACAGATTGACTCTTGCAGATGTGGGAAGTTTGAGGGAAAAGTCAGGTGGAGGTACAGGTAGGAAAGAGGTAAGGAGTTGGAAGAAGCAGTTCAAGTGCACTCGTCCCTTAGAAACCATGGGTGGTTTGTTCTAGGTCCTCCCTGAAGATCGCAAAATCTGCAGATGCTCTGGTCCCTTATGTAAAAAGGTGTAATACTTCTGTGTGACATATGCACACCTTCTTTAATCATTTTTACCTTACTTATAATACCGAATACAATGTAAATGCTGTATAAGTATTTGGTATACTGTATTGTTTAAGGAATAATAACAAGGAAAAGGTCTGTACATCTTTGGCACAGGTGCAGTGTGTTTTTTCCAATCTTTTAAATCTGAGGTTGGCTGAATCCATGGATGACCAACTCTTTAGAGAGTAGACCAGAGCCAGGCATGTCCACGAGGTTAAACTGTGGCCCAGTCAGTTGGACACATAGCCCCTCTTCCTCCAGGAGAAGTCTTGAGAGCAATGGGAAGGAATATTGGGTGAGACTCAGAGAACTTTGTGCATATTCCTTATGCTGCCACAGTCTACCTTTGTGGGTTGGGCAAGTCTTTCGGTCTGTCTTAGTATCAGCTGTCATGACTGAAAATGGGGTAGGGATTTTTACCAAGAAAATCTGTAATGGTGTTAGAATTAAATAAGATAATATGAACTTCATAAATGATAGTAGCTCTTTCCACATGAATATAAAGGAGGAAGAGGTGACTCTATTGGGTTACCTGGGCATGCTTTCAGGCCTCTTGTCTGGACACACTCTCCACACACATCCCAGACTGAGAACACAAAAGACCACGTTCATTTTAAAAGGAAGCCTCATTTTGACACACAACATTCATATGTGGTTACTCCTTATGGGACTATGAATTCCTTGAGCTGTTTTATGCTTTGTTTCCTTAGTGTTTAAAATTGCTCGACACACAATAATGAGGGAATTCATTTTAACAAGAATTTAACAAGGAATGAAGAACAAGCAAGCATCCGGCTGGCTCTGCTCGATGCAGTCCTGAGATCGGTGCCGCCATGTATGCTAGTTCAGAAGAGCGTACAGGCAGGCAGAGCCCTGATGTCCGCACAAGATGTGAGCTGTCAGCAGCATCCCTCCTGCCAGACTTCAGGGAACTGTCTCATCTCACAGGGATTCTCTACTGATACTCTTACTTAGAATGTGCTAGGGGTTATAATAATTCCCTTCTGGGAATGGGATTCTGAGAGCTGGAGAGTTTGGGCCAGCACTTTCCAGCTGGTCAGGGACAGATTTTGTCTGCTGTTGACCACCAGACTATATTCTAACACCAGGCAAGCTGTTCTAGCTGGCTGTTGTGGTAGACACAGATCACTTGTGGTTTTGCCTTTTTATTTATTTATTGTGTGTGTGTGTGTACACGTGTGGCACTGGGATGTTTTTACCATTTAAAAATTCTTAGATAAGATGTATATTGAACTAACAGTTTTAAGTAGACATTTACCTGTTGTTACACACTACAGATTCTTCCCTGAGTGCTTTGTGAAATATCATGTCACTCTCCTTCTACCTCTAAACCTAGAACAACAACTACATTCCCTTATCAAGCCAGCATAAGATTTTTAAATGTGATTTTTTTTTTTCCCCAGCGTCTCTCCAGTGAGAATGGAACCCAAATCAAAGACCTCTATTTTTCTCAGAGTTCCTGGTACCTGACTTATTTCCAGAAGGATTGTAGAATACCAGTTCCAAAATCTAAAATCCATAATTAGAATGTTTCAGTCACACAAAACCAGAATTACAATTTTGAGTGTGTTTTGTATTATTTTATTTTTAAATAAAAATGTTACTGTGGAAGAGTGGAGATTCAACTCCAACTAGCTCTTTGTTTATTGATTAGATTTCTATCTGGCCTTGAGGAATGTTACAATTTTCCTTGCCCTTTCACTAGAATAATGAAATGAGTAAGAAGGTGTGATCCTGGGAAGGACCTGAAATCTAGAACCCCCATTGGAGAGGTGTCAAGAGCCCAAGTAGCTTAGTCCCTCCCATTTTCTAGGGAGCCCCATCCTGTCATCCCTTGAATGACTGATGTTTTGGTGCCCTGACTTTGCCAGGTTGCATATCACTACCTGCATACTGTAGATCAGTGATGATGAACCTTTTAGAGCTTTCAGTGATACAAACAGCCCACTGGCATGCGTGTCATAGGCTCGCCACCACTGTGATAGATCTTAATTTTTTGTTAACTGTCCACTTTTATATCCCAAGTGTCTTGTACATAGTAGGTAGCTAATAAATATTTGTTAAATGAATTAAGGAAATGAGAACACAGGCTTTGCCTGTTATTTGCCTGAAGTCACCCAGCTATGGAGGTCTGATCAGGTCAGTTTCAGTGGTCCCTCTCCCCAGATACTGTGTGCCTGAAATGCCATGCTCGGAGCTGGCTGAAGGTCTAGCAGTCAGCACAGCCTCAGAGCCTCACCTGGGCCGGGAGCTTGTTGTCATGAGTGGGACGTGCTCTAGAGCTGTGAGAGAGGAGAGAGGAGGGGGCGGAAAAGGAGCAGCAGATTCCCTAGGGTGGAGGGACTGACCCCTCCTGTTTGTATAGCTCCTACATCTCCTCTCTACACAGTATTTCCTAAAAGCATAATCATGTCATGATTGGTTTCTGTAGAGTCTTTCTACTCTACTGAAGGATGCACTCTTCAAGGTCACCGAGAATCTTCATCACCTTGTAGCATGTGCTCAGCTGGAGGAGGTGTCATTCTTTATCTGATAACTGATGTAATGTGAACTAAAGCAGTCACAGTCCCTGAATGTGAGGGGCTTATGATCACTCTGTCTTTGATCCCCCAGGACCACAGCCACATGCTTTTTATCAAGTGACAGTAAGAGCAGCCAGCTGGAGGAGGGGGACAGGGAGAGCACA